GGTGGTAAGTTTTTTAAACAATTGAGGTATTACTTAAAATAATAAAGTGCACAGATCTTGATGGTTAGATGTGATGAATTTTGACAATTGTGTACATACAAGTAACCACCATTCAAAGCAGGAATACAGAACCCCAGGAAGTTCTTTATTCTCTTTCCCCTAACCACTGATCTGTTTTGTCACTATAGATAAGTTTTTCCTGTTCTTGGACTTCATGTAAACAGAATTATACAGTTCCTCTTTGATGTCTGGCATATGTTTTTGAGATTTATCGATGTTGCATGTATCGGTTGGTTCCTTTTTTATTGCTGAGTTGTATTCTGTCAAATATGTAACATTTTCTCCCGTTTTGGCTTATTATGTATAAGGCTACTGTGAGCATTCTTGTATCAGGCTTTTGTGGACCTCTCTTTTAGTTCTTGCCGTCCTTAGACCTTGGACCCTCCCTCTCTTCTGCATGACTGGAGGCTCTAGTAGGCAGAAGCTCCTGAGTGAGGGTTTTGAGGGTCAGGCCTGTGTTCTGTAGGCCAGAGCGTCATTCCAGGGCTCCAAACAACTACAAGGAGGATTGAGAAATGTCTAGTTGAGTGCGCAGGATGAAAAGCAACTCTTGATGAAACCCAGCAGAGTCTCTTCCATAGACCTGAGGCCAACCTACTTCTGCACTCAGGCCGCAGAGTTCTGCTCGATGCAAAAGATCACCGTGAACTGGTGGTTCCCACAGTGTGTCCTTCCCTGCCTTAGGTGGGCCTTCCTTCGGATCCTTGGTGTACCCCTAGGCGACTCTCCTGTCTTTATCCGTCCTACCTGTGGTCCCTGTCCTGCACTTTCCTTTGTTTCAGCAAATGACCTGGCTTCGAGAGAATACAGGACTTCAAGTAGCATTTCCCTGGGCTCGCCTCACCTCCTTCCACACCACCTCACTTATTTGTAGCCTTACCCATTCTTCTTTTTTTTTTTTGAGTCAGAGTCTCACTCTGTCACCCAGGCTGGAGTGCAGTGGCAGGCTCACGGCTACCGCAGCTAATTTTAATTTATTGTAGAGACGAGGTTTCGCTAAGTTGCTGGTCTTGAACCCCTGGGCTCAGGCATGCCTCTCACCTCGGCCTCCCAAAGTGGTGGGATTACGCATGTGAGCCACCGCTCACGGCTTGCCTTACCCATTCCTAATTCCTTGGCTTCTGACTCAGAGGAGACTGCCCCTCTTTTGCAAGGTAAGCTCTTCTTTGCTCTAGATTTTCCTTCTCCTGCCTCTTCTGAGACCTTGCATCCTCAGCGGTCTCTTTTCTTAAGCCTCTCCCTCTCCATTTGCACTGTCCTCTCAAAAAAATAAACATGAAGATTTTCTTGTACTTAAAAAAGCCCATCCTTTAATCTTGTCCTTTTCTCTGCCTAATACAGGTCTCTTTTTTTTTTTTTTTGAATCGGAGTCTCACTCTGTCCCCCAGACTGGAGCGCAGTGGCCGCTCCCGGCCACCGCAGCCTCGACCCGCCGGGCTCCGGCGATCCTTCAGCCTCAGCCTTCCAAGTAGCCGGAACTACAGGCGCGCGCTACCACGCCTGGCTAGTTTTTGATTAGTTGTAGAGATGAGGTCTCGCCAAGTTGCCCAGGCCGGTCTTGAACCCTCGGGCTCAGGCAATCCACTCACCTCGGCCTCCCAAAGTGCTGGGATTACAGGCTGAGCCACCGAGCCCGGCCATACAGATCTCTTAAAGAGTAGATCTCTACTTCATCTTCAGTTCCGTCCTCGTACTGCAGTCTGACTGTGCTGCCACCATTCCGTTGAAATTACTCCCATTAGTGTGAGTTGCCTTTTCCTGCCACATTTGATGATTGTTCCTTCTCACTTCTTGCTTCTTGACATTCTTGACTTCTTGAGACCCTTCGACCTCCCTGTACCTCTTAGGATCCCTTCTCTGCTTCACTACATGAGTTCCTTCTCTATCTGTCCCGGCTTAATGTTGAGGAGCCCCTGAGGCGGTGACCTCAGATCCTTCTGGGTTCCTCTGCAGCATGGTGCTGGCACTGCCTCGCTCTTGGTTCTCAGATCTGTATATCTTGATAAGAAGTGCAGACTTCGTTCCTGAGCTCAGACATCACACTAACTGCCCATTTAAACTTCCTTTCCTTGCAAGTCGGCAGCTTCTGCACTGTGATTGGAGGCTGGTGCCACCACTAAGCCAAACACGCGGAGTCTGCTCTAGACTGCCGCATCTGTCACTGAATCCTGCCTCTTCTGCCTCCAAAATCCTAATGTCTCTCTCTGCTTCTGCTTTCCTACCACTGTATCTTAGGCCCACTTCTTTCTCACCTCAGTTATCTTATTGCTTTTTACAGTTTGTTTTTCCTTTTCTTGCCCACGTGTTAGTTGTGTTCGGTTCTTCACGTAACATTTCTTCTCCTGATTTTTCAAGTTTTTTTTAGGAGAGGGTATTATATTTGAACAGGATTCTCTAAAATTGAATAATTTTTCAATTGGATATCTTTGCCAAGATAATTTTGTGTGAAAAGAAGATAGATACACATGGAGACTCCTTTGGTCAACAGTTGGTTTTCAGTCAGGGTCTCACTGTGCCACCCAGGCTGGAGTGCAGTGGTGCATTCCTGGCTCACTGCCACCTTGACCTCCTGGACTCAGGCAGTCCTTCCCCCTCAAGCTTCCCTAGTAACTGGGACTACAGGCGTGCTCCACCATGCCTGGCTAATTTTTTTTTTACTTAAAACATTTTTTTATTTGACTTCCAAGACACTGCTATCTTGATTGTCTTTCTACCTTGCTGGCTTCTCCTTTGCAGTAGCCTTTGTTTTCTCTCTTCTCACCAGTCAGCTTTGTGATGAAATATCTCTGGGCTCTGTCCTTGGGTCTGTTCCTAATACACTCACTCATTTATTTTCATGGCTTAAATAATGTCTATGTGACTGCTACTCACAAGTTTGAATCTGCAGTTTAGACCACTTCATTAATCTCTAGGTTTGTATATTCAGCTGGTTCCTCAGCATTGTATTTGGACGTTTTATACTGTACTAGTTAGTATGCCTGAAACTGAACTCCTGGTTCTCCCCCTAATAATTCTGCTACATCCAGTTTTCCCCATTTCAGTTAATGGTAACTCTGTCCTTTTATTCTTGTTTATGCAAAAACAAAACAAAAACTTAAGTGTTGTCCCTGGTTCTGTTCTTTGACTCTTCACCTTCATGTTCTCTGAAATTCCCCCAGGCTCTATCTTTGAAATATGTCCAGAGTCTGACGACTTCTCACCACCTCGGTTCCCCGCATCCTGTCAAGCCACAGTTGTCTCTGCCGAAGGGGACTTAACAGATCTCCTTGATTCGATTTTTTTCCTCCCTGTTAAGTATTTTCCACAGAGCTGGCAGAAAGACCTTTAAAAAGATACATCACTTCACTGCTTAAAGTCCAGCTTTCCGTTTTATCAGAGTAAAACCCAAACTCCTTAAAAATGGCTGAATAAGACTTGATCTGTCACCTCCATTCTGTTACTTTTTTGCTATTTTCCACTGCTTACTCTGCTGCAGTTACAGTTGATATTTTTTTATCCTCCTTTCAAAAACCAGCCACGTTTTTGCTTCAAGTTCGTTCAGTTCTTCTTGCCTTGAACAGAAGAGTCCTGCATCTCTTCTCGTGCATAGCCAACCACAGCCAGGTGCAGGGTTTTCTAAGCTTCATGGAAGGGATAAGACACACACAAGAGTAGAGGGCCAGGTGAGAAAGCAAGTCCCAGCTCTGCTCCTGTTACGTTATTCTTTGAACTGAGCGTCCTGGGCTGAGCTTGCGATAAGAATGTTTTCAGATCTGTTGTTTGTCTTCTGCTATTTCTAAGATTTGTTCCTGTCCTCCACGGCAGCGGCATTCTGTCTTAGTGTAGTGGCTGTCATGTGTTATATGTAGAAGATCCTGGTGTTGCTCTGCAGGAGATCTTAAATAAACCAACCACTGATTCCTTTGTCCTGTGTCTCTGGACAGCCAGATTCAGCGGGTTTGAAATGGGGGCTTGGATTCAGCAGACAAAACAGTGCTCTCAGATGAGTAATAAAAAGTGTAGACTGCATCTTTGGTGGAGAGGAGAAATGGTTCATGCGACTGCATTTTCCCCACTCCTATTATTTTGCTTTCCTTTCCTCCTAGATTCTTCTTTCCAGATCCACCAAAACACGTATCTTCTCTTGAGAGTAAATGGTGACAAAGTGAGCTGGGTCTGAGGTCTGCATGATAGTAGTTGGCATGTTCCATCTGGTCTGTATTTTTTTTTAGAAACGAAGTCTCTCTCTGTTTTCCAGGCTGCTCTCAAACCTGGGCTCAAGCAATTCTCTTGCCCTGGCCTCCCAAAGTGCTGGGAGTATAGCCATGAGCCACTGCAGCTATCAGTCAATAGTTTGTTAATCCTCTATTCTGTCTTTTCACACTATGAATGTTTAGAAAATCTTTGGTTGCATTAGTATTAAAAAGGTGTAAAAGCATGTCTTTGTAAAAAGCAGTTCCCTTTTCTTCTGTTTTCTGCTAGATTGCCTTTACTTTCAGCATTTTATTGCTCTTTCTATGATCACCATTATGTCCGTTCATCACAATACCACATTTTTAAAAAAATATACACTGACACTAATAATAATAATGCATCTGCAACCATTTTTCACAACCATTGTGACTTTAGTAGAGAAATTTAGTTTTTACTTTCCTAAAGAGTCTGAAAATATAGTTGATTTACATGACTGTTAGTTGAGATGGACACATATTCAGAACCACTTCATATGAGCTAAATCTTGACTCAAGAAATATCATTAACTTGCAAATTCATCTGAAAGAGTGTCAGGACCTTGAAGAATGTGTTCTAATATCTTAGTGTTATATAACAAAATTCTAATGGTGTAAAATAACTCAGGCAATTCTTCTACAGCTTTTTGGTAATAGAATTCGATCTGTATCGGCACTTGTTTATTTCCAAAGTTAGCATAATTAAAAATGTATTTTGTTGCTTTTCAGGTCCCTCCTTGTGGTCCATTTCTGGGCGCCCTGGGCTCCACAGTGTGCACAGATGAACGGTGTAATGGCAGAGCTAGCTAAAGAGCACCCTCACGCTTCGTTTGTGAAGGTATTTCACTGGCGTCGTGTCTTGTGAATTTAGTCCTGACTTTCGAGTTAGGCCAGATTTTGTTAACTGATACAGAGAAGGAGTAGTATGGAATCTAAAATATTTAGGATTGGTGTTGGGATCTGTTCTTTTTTGCAGTAGATTATTCTTTATTCTTTTTTTTTATTTTTTATTTTTGAGTTGGAGTCTCACTCCGCCGCCCAGGCTGGAGTGCAGTGGCATGCTCACTGCCACCCCAGTGTTGACCTGCTGGGCTCCGGCGATCCTTCTGCCTCAGCCTTCCAAGTAGCCAGAACGACAGGCGTGCACTACCACGCCCAGCTAATCTTTTGACTTTTGTTGTAGAGATGAGGTCTCTTCCCGGACTGACCTTCGAACCTGCGGGCTCAGGCAGTCCACTTTCCTTGGCATCCCCAAGTGTTGGGATTACAGGTTGAGCCACTGAGCCTGGCAGATTATTCTTAAAAATCTTAAAATAATTTTGCATTTCTCAAGTACACTTTCACATACTCATCCTCAAGTGGGAGACATGACTGCCAAATATTATTAGAGTGGCCATGGACAGAAGTGTCAGGGAGCACAGGCAGACCAGATAATCCGCTGTGGGTAATTGTGGTTTTAGGGTAGTTAAAATAGTGACATGACTTATGTAATTGAAAGCTAGGCGTGCTGTGGAAAATGATCCAAAAAGGATATGCAAAGGCTGTTACGGACCAGGGGAATGGGAAGAAGTTGCTGTCTTGAATTGGGTGAATGCAGACTTCCAGGAGAAGCTGCAAGTGCTTCTGACATGTTGAGGAAGCAGAGAAAAAGGGAAGCCAGACAGTCTCTTCTGTGCTTCCTTTGTTGTTTACGCCAGTGTTGCTCCGGCACTGCTGGTGTCTCTTGAGTGGATGAGTCCTAGGAAAGTGATAGACTTGACTGTGGGTCAGGCCACTTGGGTTAGCACATTAAAGTCACCACTCAGGACGTGGCACTGACTTTGGCAACAGGGCCAGAATAGGAGTTGAGAGTCTTAGAAATGAATTGTTGGGAAGGGAGGTCCACCTTTTCTTTAAAAACCTGAATCCTTAGGATTTTAAAAAACAAATAAGAACCAGTCTTGTTTTTTAAAACCAGAATTTTTGAGTTCAGAGTACACATTGGCCAGTATACCCATGTATGGGGTTAAAAATAGCATTAGCTGGCCGGGCTCGGTGGCTCAGTTTATAATCCTAGCGCTTTGGGAGGCTGAGGTGAGTGGATTGCCTGAGCTTGCAGGTTCGAGACCCACCTGGGCAACTTGGCGAGACTTCATCTCTACAATAAATTAAAAAAGAAAAAATTAGCCAGGCGTGGTAGCACGTGCCTGTAGTTCTAGCTACTTGGAAGGCTGAGGCAGAAGGACTGTACTTAAGTCTGCGGTGACAGAGTGAGACTCCAACTCAAAAAAACCAAAAAAAACCCCAAAAAAACCCTAGAAGGATTCATACAAAATTAATACAAGTGGTTACTTATGTGGTGGGACAACAGGGTTGACAGAAAGGAGTGAGGTGAGCCTTCTCAATGAACACCTTTCTATATGTTTGGATTATTGAGCCATCTGAATACGCAATATTCAAAGCAAATTTATCTATACAGATGCTGTCTGAAAATTTTTATCACCTACTATACAAATGAATTAGTCTATCAGAATTCTGTTTTCAGTTTACATAAAAAGAGGCATGTAGCCGGGCTCGGTGGCTCAGCCTGTAATCCCACGCCTTTGGGAGGCTGAGGTGAGTGGAATGCCTGAGTCCGTGGGTTCAAGACCCGCCTGGGCAACTTGGTGAGACCTCATCTCTACAATAAGTCAACAATTAGCCGGGCGTGTTAGCGCGTGCCTGTAGTTCCAGCTACTTGGAAGGCTGAGGCGGAAGGATCACTGGAGCCCAACAAGTCGTGGCCACTACACTCTAGTCTGGGCGACAGAGTGAGATTCCAACTCAAAAAAAAAAAAAAAAAGGGGGGGCATGTAGACAAATACAGCAAATGCTATTTTTTTTTCCCCTAGCAGTTCACTTTACCCTTTAATCACTAGCCAAGGAGAGAACTGGTTTCTTTGTGAAGATAGAGCATATATGAATATAGTAGTTAGCTTTTTAAAATTTAAGGACATATTTAAAATTCCAATGAAATGTGTATTGTAACCTTAGAATGTAACCTTAAAATGTCCAATATAAATAATAGAAGGTGACATTAAAACTGCATGCTTGGTCAGTGATAAAAGATAATGGTTACAAGTAAAATGAATGATTAAACATTTCAATCATAAGATTAATCAAGGTGATGGTAATTGTTCTGAGTCTGTTTCTGTGTGTGTAATGTTACTGGTTTAGGTAACGCATTGTTCTTAGCTGCTATCTGAATGATTTATTTAAAGTGACTATAGAATTACTTCTCACATTGGTACCAGACTTGGCAGTGAGATTTTAAGTTGTCCGAGTGCTTAAGTGTCTCTCTGAGCCAAGGGTTGGAGAAGCCCTCAGGCTGCAGGGTTCCAGGGGAACCTGGATCTGACTTCACCTGCCGCTCTTGGGAGTGCTAGACTGGTCATCGTTCTAGGAGTCATCGCTTTCCAGAAATTCATGCTGTGACATTCTTTTTCTTTCACTGAACATCATCATCAAGGGTAGAGGTAATTTGCATGGAGTTTGTGAGGTAGGTAATTAAAAGGCACTTGCTGAACAATAATAGCGAACAGAGGAGAAATAAAATATTGGAGAGATCATTGGTCTTTCCCTGTAAGAGAGGCATGCAGTTCATTTAAGACACCTTTCTTTTGTTAATGAGAGCTTTTGGAAGTTTCTAGAGTATAGAACTAATGTTTAATACCCCATCTGTGTCTTTTAATTTGGTTTCTTTTTAAAAAATAATAAAATAGTTTAGCATTTTTGACATGCATAATAAAGGAATTAGTACTTATTTGTGACTGAGATTTACAAAATCATTTAAATAGATGATCATAGACTGGATTTTTTTTTTTTGAATTGGAGTCTCACTCTGTTGCCCAGACTGGAGTGCAGTGACTGCTCCCGGCCACCGCAGCCTTGACCTGCTGGGCTCCGGCGATCCTCCTGCCTTAGTCTTCCGAGTAGCTGGAATTATAGGTGCGTGCTACCACCACGCCCGGCTAATTTTTGATTAATTGTAGAGTTGAGGTCTCGCCAAGTTGCCTGGGCTGGTCTCAAACCTGCAGGCTCAGGCAATTCACTTGCCTTGGCCTCCCAAAGTGCTGGGATGACAGGCTGAGCCACCAAGCCCAGCCCTTATTTGACATCTTAGAGAGCATATGTTGGATTCCATTTTATAAGAACTCTAAAAATGCCTCTCAGCATTCTAGTAGAATTATTAAATCTTAAAGATAATCTAATCTTTATCTATGCTGTCTTGGTATGTTCAAAAAAATACCACAATTAACATGGTTTTTATTAGCTGTTTCTGGGCTAAGTTTGGCAAAAATCTTTTAAAAAGTGATCAAAAATGTTGATTTAAATGTCTGTTTTAAAATTTATATTTGACTATCTGATAAAGAAGGAATTTGATTTTGAAATTCTGTGTTTTATTGTATCACACATCACAGAGTAGACGGAAGCCTCTTTGTTAGGTTTAACCAAATGTCTCTGAATGTCAAGTTGTTCTCTCCATCTTGGATCCTCAGTGCCACCCCCATTCTTGGCTTAGGTATAGTGACCACCTTTGTTTAATACTCTGTCAAAATGTATAGAATACCAAATGCCACACATTCTAGGCCCTGGGGATCCAGGAGACTAGGTCACAGACAACGAGAGGTTTAATAAATATGTTATCAAGACAGTTTCAGATAATAATAAGTTCTGCAAAAGAAGTAAATGGGCTGTGAAAGATAGGAGCTGGGGTGGATGAGTACTTCATGCTCTTTTAGGGTGGGCTGGAAAAGGGTACCTGGTGAGGTGAGAGTAAAAAAATGAGAAGGAGGGAGCTGCTGGGAAAGCCGGGGGAAACGTTGAAACAGAAGATTAGCAAGTGCAGAATGTCAGCCAGCAGGCAGAAGGGTCATGGGGCTGGGGGTGGCGAGGGTGTGGCATGAGGTTGGAGTGGTGGGCAAGGGCCAGTGGCCTGGTGGGCAGTGGCGGCATTTAGGTCTTTCTCCAAGTGCAGTGGAAGTGGCCGTGTCCAACTCCTGTCTGAAGTCCGCTCCTCCAGCTGCTGAGTGGAGGAGGGCCTGAAGGTGGAGAGGAGCAGAACAGAAGCATGTCGAGGCGAAGAAAACATGGGATGCCCAAGTGGAAGGTGTTACTTGAAGGGGTGGCTGTGGTAACTTCTGAGTGGTGCTAAGGCGGCCAGAATGAAGGAAGGACAGTAAGCGTTGGATTTGCTGCGGCGCGGCACGTGGTGTGGCGGGAAGCTTGGCTCCGGAGCCAAACTGGCCTCGCTCCACCGCTCAGCTGGTTTACGGCTGTCCCAGTCCATTTGCGCTATTGCATCAAAATACCCCAGCCTGAGTGACTTGTTAACGACAGAGATGGACTGCTTACAGTTCTGGAGGCTGGAAGGTCTGAGGTCAGAGCCCCCGCAGATTCAGTGTCTGGCTAGGCCTCGCTCTGTGGCACTCTGGATGCTGCGTCCTCACGTGGCAGAAGGAGTGGAAGGGAAGAATCGGGAGTAGCTCCTTCTAAAGGCACTAATCTCCATCAGGAGGACAGAGCCCTCAGGCCTGATCACCTTCCACAGCCTCTTAGTTGCCGTCACCTTGGATTTTAAATTCCAGCATAAGAATTTAGGAGAGACATATACATTCAAACCATAGCATTGATCTAGGCCAAGTTCCTGGACCTCTTTACGTTCTGGTTTCTTTTGTATTGTGAGGCTCAAATGGGTCTACACATCAAACACACGTAGAGTAGTCTCAGTCCTAGAATAAGTTGCCGCTGTCAGCCCTTGCTCTCATCGCGGTTTCTGGTGATCCCCACTCTGTGGAAGAAGAACAGGGCGAGGATTCCCCACCTCTGGATTTACCTGATGCCTCCCCTCCTTTCTCGCCCCTTCTCCACAGACACACACCCTGCTGAGTGGGCAGGGTCCGGAGTTTGAGGTTCTTGGCATAGGAGCAAGCGGTTTCCACTTGAGGCATTTTGCCTGGGTTGTGTGCTGGAAATGTTTGTTTGTTTGGTCCTGAAGTCATGTGCAGGCCCTGTCTTTGCCAGGTGATCTTACTTTTTGATTGGAGAAGTAGAAGAAAGTTAACCCTGGTATAGAGAAAAAGGCATAGGCTTTGTAGTCAGACACACTTGGGTTTGTTCTCATCTCTGCTACTAATTCACTGTGTGTCTTCACGCAAGTTACCCAAGTTCCTTCTGTGTCAGTCGGTGTTCTGACGGGAAAGCGAACCAAGAGGATCAGAAGGGGATTTATTATGGGAATCGGCTCATGTGATTATAGAGACTGAGAAGTGTCATTATCTGCTGTTATTTGGGAGTGCAAAGGCTGGAAAACCGGCTGTTCTGATGTCCAAGGGCAAGAGAAAATGAGTGCAAGAGAGGGAGAACGAGGGAACATTCTCACCCAAATGGGGTGAGAGTGGATCCTCCTTACTTAGTCCCCTGATTCAAATGCTAATCTCCTCCCCAGATACTTCAACAGTTACCTGGGTAACCCTTAACCCGGTCAAGCTGACACCTAAAATTAGCCGACACACCTCCTCTTTACCTAACCTCACCACCAATAATGTTGAGATAATAATATGCTCTCTACCCTTCAAAATTATAAGTAGGCTAGGCAGTTTTATGTAAGAGCCTATCATGGTTTATGGCACATAGTAGGTTATCCATTCAAGATACCTATTGTTGACCATCTTTGAGCGCTTCGGAATGCAGATCCTTTCAAACACCTTTTTTTTTTTTTTTTTTTTTTTAGTTAGAGTCTCACTCCATCGTCCAGACTGGAGTGCAGTGGCATGCTCCCGGCCACTGCAGCCTCAACCTTCTGGGCTCAGGCGATCCTCCTGCCTCAGCCTTCCAAGTAGCTGGAACTACAGGCACGTGTTACCGTGCCTGGCTAATTTTTGATTCACTGTAGAGACGAGGTCTCACCAAGTTGCCTGGGTGAGTCTCGAACCCACGGGCTCAGGCAATCCACTCGCCTTGGCCTCCCAAAGTGCTGGGATTACAGGCTGAGCTACCGAGCTCGACCTCAAAATGTTGATGTATTTTATTTTGTTTTCATTGTTACAACTGTTGTGTTAGAATCCAGCAAAAATATTTCCAAAGAATTTTATTGCTGCAAAGGTTTTAGGACTTCGGATGTCCTTGGTATTTGGAGAACTGTTTTGCCTTACAAGGCACTCCTATTCCCTTTTTTCTGGAGGATTTATCTGTTACCATGGCCTTGTATTATGAAGAGCTCCTCTGTTGGGAGCTGATTTGAGGGGAGGCAGTTGTGAGTCTCTGGCTGCAGCAGGAATTACAGGGGGTCATTGGCTTCTCAGCAGAGTTGTCAGTAAGGGATCCTGCCGGAAACCAGGAATATAAAAAGAAGTAGGATTTTGAAAGAGTGTAGGAATTTGTCTTTATGGGTCAGGATGCTGCCTGTTTTGTTCTGGTTTGACCATATTGTCTTGTTTCTATCTGATGTTGCCCTCTTTTCGGATTTGTGTTACTTTTCTGTTCGAAGTCTGTAGTACCAAGGGTAGGGCTCTTTTCTGAGCCTAGCACAATGCCCAGTGTGGAGTGGGCTCTCAACAGATGCTAGCCGAAAGAAGGAAGATAATGAGCTGGAGTGTGGTGTAGGCGTGCCCTTGTCACCAGCTTTTCTGGTCATCGTTGATCTGACTGGGAAGTTGAATATGTGAAAGAAGGTAGCACAAATGCTTCTGAATCTTTAGAGAGTCTTCTGAAACTGTTGCAGAATACTTATCTTTTTGCCTGCCTTTTAGATTATTAGATAGTTGATAGTGTTTTAAAATTTACAGACAACAGCCGGGCTCGGTGGCTCAGCCTGTAATCCTGCACCTTTGGGAGGCTGAGGTGAGTTGGATTGCCTGAGCCCGCGGGTTCGAGACCCGCCTGGGCAGCGAGACCTCATCTCTACAATAAATAAAAAAATCAGCCGGGCGTGGTAGCGCATGCCTGTAATTCCAGCTACTCGGAAGGCTGAGGCGGAAGGATTGCCGGAGCCCGGCAGGTTGAGGCTGCAGTGGCCGAGAGCGCCAGCTGCACTCCAGTCTGGGCGGCAGAGTGAGACTCCAACTCAAAAAAAAAAAAAAAATTATAGACATCATATAAATATATTTTTGCTCCCTTTTACATTATTAGATAGTTGATATTTTAAAAGATTTATAGACATCATATAAATACATTTTTTAAAATGGAAATAATTAAAAATATTGTTGCAAGCGGGTTTTCTAAAGGAAAGAAAGTTAAGGTAGTAAAAGAGCACCCAAGAGTATATAAGATGGAAGATACAAACCAAAGACAGATGACTCTGTTTTTCACTTTATTGTCAAGCTTCATTTGGATAGTTATAACCTGACTGAGTAAAGCTCCAGATAAAAATAGTATTTCAAGCCCGGTGGAAATCTTTCACTGTTTGAAAAATACAGTGTGTATATTTTAAAAACTTTTAACAATATAATTTATCAATAAATTTTATTTCCTACAGGTATAATGCGAATACAGATTTTTATTGGTTTCAGGAAGTTTATATTGAATTGACAGTCCTGTGAGGGAGAGATATAATGTATCTTGGTTTTTCTCAAAGTATACTGTTTATAAAGACCTACATGAATAGCTTACAGTAATTGTGCTCTAATTATTTAGAAATCGTGTTACTAAATATGTTTTAAAACCATGTCAGATATCGCATCCTACCTTGTTAAGGGTCCTAAAGGAAATTGCCAACACAATGCAGTCATCTTATTGAAAAGACATTTACATGTATAAATAGACTGGAGGCAAGTAACTTAGCAAGACATCTGCTTGCAGTCCAGCAGCCTTGCAGGAGTTAAAAGAAAAATTTATCAGACATCAATAGTTTATTGAAGAAATACTCCTTTTTGCTTCATAATTTGCAGAAGGCTGCAACTGTCAGTCATGATGTACTGCCTCTTGAAATTAGTCAATAGAGCAAACAGCAAGAATTGCTGTGGGCAGAAAATAAGCACTGTAATCATGACATAACTGGGGTCAGTGATTTATGGATTTCAATATAGTAGTAGCTGCATATGATTGAAAATTTACTAGGTCACTAGTGCACCAAAAATTTTATTCACAGCCTCCAGGCATCTTTTGAAATGTGCAACAAAATAAAAACCTCTGAACCTGTTTTGACACTGCAGACTCAGTGGATCACCTGCCAGCCCAGTGAGTCTCATTTAAATGTAAATGTGTCATAAACTTTTGTGCCGCACTCTTTAAAAGACACCAGCTACTTGAAGAAATAATGTATGTGAAAATGATTTACATATTGAAGTAGTGAAAAAGTGCCTTTTAATAATCAAGCTTGAATTCTTTTATTTTAAAGTTGGAAGCTGAAGCTGTTCCTGAAGTGTCTGAAAAATATGAAATTAGTTCTGTTCCCACCTTTCTGTTTTTCAAGGTAAGGACAGAGATGGCAAAGAGATGATCCATCTAGAGTGGATCTTGGGGCTGTCCGTTTCGTTTTCTTTACCCTCGCTCCTAATCCCGGAACATCGGGTCTGGGGTTGTTTCTGGCTTCCACCTTTCTTCTGATAATCTCATTTCTGCACTGATGCTGAAGAGGAGGACCGTGCCAGCTGCTGGCCAATGTCTTGGAAAAGTGGCATGGACTGGCCAGCAGCCAGAATTGGAGCTTCTTGATCAAAATCCAGATACGTGGCTCTAGACCCTCAGTGTTCCTTGAGTTGTATCAGAAGTCGGTTGTTTAGAGCATGTGCCTGGAACAGCTGGCTGGTTCTGGTTTGATTAATGACTCTTAGGAAATGGGTGTGGATCTGTGCTTCATAGTTACCATAGTTTTTCAATAACCTCATTTATACTTAATAATAGATCCATCCTAGTGAGTGCAGGGGAAATCCTTTTTGTTTCAGGTTAGACTCTGATATAGTTTGATTTTGAGATGTCACAATGTTTTCCCAGTAAATCATTAGTGTTTCTAAAGTGGAGATGCAGTGCAGGCAATTTGTAATCACACACATATATTTTTTACTTCTCCAGTTGTAGTGTTGATTCCTTTAAAAATTGGCTAGACCTGTGTACTTGCTATATTTGAAACCTAAGATATAGAGATGATGAAGGAGTGCCACATATCTAAACTACTTTTTAAACTTTAGAATTCTCAGAAAATCGACCGATTAGATGGTGCACATGCCCCAGAGTTGACCAAAAAAGTTCAGCGACATGCATCTAGCGGCTCCTTTCCACCCAGCACTAATGAGCATCTTAAAGAGGATCTCAACCTTCGCTTGAAGAAATTGATTCATGCTGCCCCCTGCATGTTGTTTATGAAAGGAACTCCGCAAGAACCACGCTGTGGTAAGAAATTGTTTTTAAGATAATGTAAACAAGATGAATACTTTCCATTGTAAAGGGCACAGTTGCGACTGATATTCCCCCTTCCAAACTATACCCGTAGTACATCTTATATTTGTGTTCACAGACCTTTAGAAAATCGGAAAGGTTATAATTCCTCATGGCATTATATAATTAGGTGAGAAGATTGTAGATTCAGAGAATGTTGACCCAAAAGGGGTCTCATAAACCAGCTAACTCAGATTTTTGTTTTCTACTTGGGTCCTCAGACTCAGAGATAATAGGTGACTTGCCCAGCCCAAGGTCACCGTAGTAGAATTGCATGAGGTTCTACGACTATATTGTTGTCTCTATTGGTGGGCCTTTTTAGTTTGTTTTGCTGTTAGGAGTTTTCTTTCTTGGAAGCTGTTTTTTTCCACCTAGTTTGGATTCAGCAATTTAAAAGGTAGCAGAATGTTTGTAGCATTTCCATGTCTGCCTTGTACTTTTGCCTTTCCTGCTGTCGGTTCTAATATAGTCTAATGATTGTATTATTCATGCATTGCTATCATTTCCAGTTTATAACTGCTAGTAATTTAAAGATTCCAATTCTTGGCGTATAGTCACTCTTAGTTTCTGTAACCATGGATGCATATAATTTTGTCCTAAAGTGAATTTTAGAGTTATTTGACCCCTCTGGTATTGGGTTTATGTTGTTTTCTTTTTACTATGCCTAGTACAACATTAGTGTGCGGCGTAATTGAGCATTTAATGCCTTTTGATGGTGCTGTTGAGAAGAATATTTGTTTCAACTATGCAGGAGGGAATTTATTAAGATAGGTGGCAGTCACATTGAGTATATTATTGATATGATTACAGCATGTCCAGTATGACTTTAAAAAAGCCTCCAATGTGAATTTAATTCTAAATTCTTCCCTGTAGGGTTACCAAGTTGCATATTACTTATGAAAAAGTCTAGTTTTAAAAATAAAGTTTCATGATACATTCTGTCTTAGAAGATAAAGAAATGAATCTTTTATCTTTTAGTTCTCCCTGAAAATTTCCTTGCTCTAGTATTTACGTGTCAGATAATACTGCTGTTTATATATTGCAAAGCTAACAGTCTATATTAGAGTAAACTAAAATAGCAACAGGTAGTCTCTGTGTTGTGTTTGTTTGTTATTTTGTTTTTAACGGGGATCGCAACTGGTTCACATTCATCTTTTCCCATCAGGCATGAAGATCTTTTCTGGTACTTTCTATGGTAGCCTGATAACCAGAGCTCACCGTGTTAGTCAAAATAAATGAATTTTATTCAGTACCTTCATTCAAGTCTGAAGTACAGTAAAACCGGCTATGAAATGTGGTTGAACCTGTATGGCGGATGGCATAGCAGACCGACAGCAAAACCAATACAGTGATTTGGGATTGAGCAGTAGCAGTCTCTTTAGTCTTGTCTTTTCTTTTTTTTTTTTGAGGTGGCGTCTCACTCAGTTGCCCAGACTGGAGTGCAGTGGCCGCTCCCAGCCACCGCAGCCTCGGCCTGCTGGGCTCCGGCGATCCTTCCGCCTCAGCCTTCCGCCTCAGCCTTCCGAGTAGCTGGAATTATAGGCACGTGCTACCATGCCTGGCTGATTTTTTCATGTATTGTAGAGATGAGGTCTCGCTGCCCAGGCAGGTCTCGAACCCTCGGGCTCGGGCAATCCACTCACCTCAGCCTCCCAAAGGTGCGGGATTACAGGCTGAGCCACCGAGCCCGGCTTCTTTATTCTTTTCTGAGTGATAACCTGATGAAATGGGCGGGCGGCACCATTGAAGCTTGAGGCAGGGATGCTCAGAGGAGAGGGGTATCCTGGGAAGTGTAGTGGACTGGACGTCGGCCCGGGAGCTTCAGGCCTAGCCCTGCTGCCTCAGTGACTTGGAGTGCGAGTCAGGTGCCCTCCTTGTGCCTTTGCGTCCTCCTGGTGGTGTTGAGGATGGAGCCAATCTTGGAGGGCCTTGTCGACGCAGAAGTGGTATGATTATTCAAGTAAATGGGAGGTAAACTTAGAAATAATCATTTATCTGCTTACTCTTCATTAAACTGAATTTAGGATGTGTTTCTGGACATTTTTATGGTAACTGAGTGGCATTTGGAAATACAAATAATAAGAATAAAAAAGAAGCTTTGAAACATTTCAGAGGAATCTGAAAAAACGTGGAATTTTAGGCATTTAGATAACAAAAGACAGAGAATCAAAGATTTCTAGATGCATATGATTTAAGTTACAATTTTTTTCTGTTTAGGCACCTATTTTATTTATAATTTTTGTAACTCCATTTTAAAAAGTCTTTTCTGTTTCCTAATACTTTGGCTGCTGTTGCTTGTCTTTCTGCCGCATACGTAAATGTAGTGAATAGATCGTTTCTGGAAGTTACTGTTCTTTAATGAAATATCTCCTTAGGAAAACGTTTTTCTTGTGACTTTGCTCTGCCACGTTCTTCACTGAGTCTGCTCTGATTCCGTTTCCCTGGCTGTGGGTGTTGCTGGACAAGCTGTCTTCGTGATTGTGGGAACGGGAATGACGTGAACCCTCTGCTGTTCCTTTCTGAACCTGCTTAGTGGAGAATTGCTTTTGCTTCTCTGTTGCGTTGCAGAGGAGAGGTGTAGGCAAAGCCCCCTGTATGAGAACAGTGGTCGTCTCATCTTTTGGACTCAAGTGGCTGTTATCTCCTTATTTTGCACAGAGTTCACTTTGAATGGACACTCCAGGAACACTATTTTACTCCCATTGTTTTCCCACTGTGCAGTGTAGTTGTTGATTTTTGACTAGCTGGCCCCCACCTTCCTTTCTGTTCATCAGAAAAACATGAACAACTAACATTTACACTTTATATCCAGGAAACCTTGAAAACTACTTTCAGGCTCTGCCCCGGAGCCTCCATGAACTTGCTCAGCCTCTGCACAGGTCATGTCTACACCTTCTTATCCTCCACTTTGGGCTCTACCTGCAGAATTGTATGATGTATTATGAACTGACATATGGTAGGGATCTCAGTTGACAAAGAATTGGATTGTCTTTATTCTGTATGCCTCATGAAGACAGAAAAATGCTTGTTTTAGGAAGAGTTTCCAGAAGCACTTAGATACACATCTTTTTAAACGGAATGTTACATTCTTGAGCACGTTAATTATTTGAGAATTCTTGTAGCTATTTCAGTTAACAGAGCTTTTAGCAAAGCAAGAGGTATTTGAACCACCGTACAGAAATTTCTGCAGTAAGAGTCATCTAACTGGGTTTTTACTTTTAAAATCAGCCACAAAAACAGCAGGTTTAGAAGTAGAAGTATTCTGTGTGGTTTTATTGTGAAATAGTGATTAAATGTGGCAGTTAGGTTTATTCATGTAAGGAGTGGAAATGACTGTGGATAGAAATGGTTATTCTGTGGCAGCTACATGATTTTTCTACTTTTAAATATTTTTCTTGCATGCTTGCGTTTTTCTTTTTTAAAAATTGTGTAAATATTTTGTTATTAGAATAAAGTCTTACTATTTTATCCTTAAGCATAACATTTCTAGTCTGCCACTTTAACCCTTAAAAATGAAACACTACCAATCAATCTTTCTAGTCTGCATGTAATTGCCTAAAGCTAAAATAAAGCTTTTTCTCAGCCAGTTACAGTAGAAATGAGTTAATATATTGGCAACAGAATAACCATCAGCAATCAGCCGTTAGCTGTTTACTAATGAACTCCCAGATGAGTGAAAAAATTTCAGAATCAGTGTTTTACTTCAGGCTGTACATGAACTTAACACTTCAGTCGTAGGAAAAGCAACTTATATGCTATACAAATACTAGTGCTTCATCTCAGTAAACTGCAGATCTGGAACATGTTTGGTGCTCAGTTGTAGATCCATATTTTAATAGTAAATGTGCTTTTGGGTGGTCAGGTAAAGCCTATTCTTGCAGTTAATCTTATACTGAATTTTATGATTTGATTTGATTTATAAATGATTGCCGATTCTGTTAAGTCTTATAGGAATTTTGAATCTGAAGACTAGGTTATTTTCCAGTGAATTACCACTGTGTTTGAAAAGAAGAATGAGATGTTGTGAAAGACTTGGGTCATACAAAGTATTGGAAAAAAATGGAGAAGAATTAGCTTATGGAAAGAAAAATAGTTTTTTTTTTCTTCAGACCAATAGGTTTATAAAAGACTGATATCCACACTCTTATTCTTCAGTACTAGTGTTATAATAAGAAGATGGTGTCAAAAAAGTACAGAATAAAAATGTGTCACAAAAATATAATAAAATCATGAAACAAAATTGTCACTACATTGTAGTAAAAAAGATCACATTATGTACTTTGGGGAATGTAAATAGTTTTAAAAAAGAAACTGTCAAGCTAGGACATGAGATGAGCAAGAATACTGTCCATCTATTGTTGGCTCTTGAATAACAACAGAACTATAGCTTTAAAATTCAATGTGCTGTGCCCATTTTATTTTATTTCATATTTTATTGTTTATTTTTTTTTGAGTTGGAGTCTCACTGTGTCACCCAGACTCGAGTGCAGTGGCCGCTCCCGGCCACCGCAGCCTCGACTCGCAGGGCTCCAGCACCCCTTCCGCCTCAACCTTCCAAGTAGCTGCAACTACAGGCGCACGCTACCACACCCGGCTCATTTTGATTTATTGTAGAGATGAGGTCTCGCCACGTTGCCCAGGTGGGTCTGGAACCCGCGGGCTCAGGCAGTTCACTCACTTCAGCCTCCCAAAGGCGCGGGATTACGGCTGAGCCACCGAGGCTGGCTGCTGCTGTGCCCATTTTAAACTACAAAAGATTCTTTTAATTTATCCTACTTAGAGATGGTAAAGATTGAGAACTACTGAAATGGGTACTCAGGAAGTAGCAAAATTACAATAGAAACAATTGGATTTTCAGTATAGTCAAGTAGTAGTTAAAAATAACTGTTGTAGAGTTTATTTTCTCCATCCAGAGTTGCTGGGAGATGGCCACCCAAACCTTATCTTGTTAGGGCTTCAGGTCTCTACTTTTTTTTTTGAGGCTGGGTCTTGCTCTGTCACCCAAACTGTAGTGCAATGATATGATCATGGCTTAACTGCAGCCTCCAACTCCAGGGCTCAAGCAGTCCTTCCACCTCTTCCTCCTGAGTCGCTGGGATTATGGGCTTGAGCCACTGCACCTGGCTCCCAGGTCTCTGTTTTTTGGCCAGTACTGTTTCACTTACAAAAAATGTTCCTGATATTGAAGAGGAACTTTGAAAAATGCGTACTTTTTTTTATACTCACAGTGTCAACAAGTTAAATCATATCTGAACGTGTGGTATGATTCAAGGTCAGATAATGTGTTCTAGGAATTTATTTTCGTTTTCTGTAGTATTCAGCCATGTTGACTCAATGACTGGCAGAATAGGAGGCAGGCATCATGTCCTGTAGATAATATGTACCCTGAATTAATTGGTTGTCGTGTATGTGTTTTGAGAGAGAAAGAAGCTAAGTTCCATTTTTCCTTTTTTTATATACAGGTTTCAGCAAGCAGATGGTGGAAATTCTTCAAAAACATAACATTCAGTTTAGCAGTTTTGATATCTTCTCAGATGAAGAGGTTCGACAGGGGCTCAAAACGTATTCCAATTGGCCCACCTATCCTCAACTCTATGTTTCTGGAGAGCTCGTAGGAGGACTTGATATAATTAAGGTTAGAAATTCCATTTGGAGCATACTTTTTTTTTTTGAGTTGGAGTCTCACTCTGTTGCCCAGACCGGAGTGCAGTGGCCGCTCCCGGCACCGCAGCCTCGACCTGCTGGGCTCCGGTGATCCTTCTGCCTCAGCCTTCCAAGTAGCCGGAATTACAGGCATGCGCTACCACGCCCGGCAGATTTTTTGATTTGTTGTAGAGATGAGGTCTCGCTGCCCAGGCGGGTCTCGAACCCGCGGGCTCAGGCAATCCACTCATCTCAGCCTCCCAAAGGCGCGGGATTACAGGCTGAGCCACCGAGCCCGGCTAGGAGCATATTTTTAAAAGTGTTTTAATAAATCTAGAATGCAAATTTCTTGTGACTCTCTATACTTACTAATATGAACCTGCAGTAAATAACACAGTATTTCTGATTAGGCAATGGATCTCTATTCTGTATTTGGTATGATCAAGGAGATTTATGTTATAATACATTTTTAAAAAAACTTACACATATGCTTATTTTAGGAACTAGAAGCATCTGAAGAACTAGATACAATTTGCCCCAAAGCTCCCAAATTGGAGGAAAGGTAAGTATTTTAAAAGTTTGAAATTGTCTGCCATTTATTATGTTAAAAATATTTTTAAGTCCTTCAGTTTTTGCATTATTCTTTTCTATGTAGAAATCAAGGATTTGCTGTTTATATGCCAGGGGTCATAATTGTGTTGTTTACAAACTAGTCATGCAAACTTGGGAAGATCTAATTTGGATTGGAGAAATTTCAGCACCAATTTAGTGATTGTGTGGAGGATATTCTTTCCTTTTATAGAAATGCCATTGTTTCTGTAGAACGACCAGGTTTTGCTTACCTGTGCGTTTCAGAGCCAGGATTCAGTTGTCTCGTTACTGCTCATTGTCGTGAACTTGGCACACTTGTGTTTTCTTGTGCATAGCCTTGACTGCTGTGGTCGCTGACCCCCTTCGAGCTCCTAGTGTAACAAGTGTCAAGCGTGAAAAGCCAATGCTGTGTGTGCAGTACACCTTTAAACAGGCTTTGGGGCGCTTTTTATTGTCTTTCTAACGTAAATTCAAGCAGATTTTGGAGTTGTAAGTTTGTTTTAGGAAGGATCTCAGTCAGCTTTCAGAGACATTCTCCTACAGAAATTCTGGGCTTTAGTGTGCAGGTAGGCTTAAAGAGATTTTTATTGAAATAAATACGAATTAATGTGGAAGTTCAAAAAGGAATTTGTTTTGAGATTTATCACCGCATCAGCCATTCTTAGTTGTGGCTTTTGTTTGTAAGGCAGACTTTTCTTTTATAATCTTTTTTGCCATTTAACAGTTGGAGAATTTCTGAAAAGGGTTTAATAATAACTCATTTGTCTGCTCTTAGTTAATGAAGAAATCTACATAAACAATGTCCCACCTATGTCAACCTTTGAGTGCTGTATATTTTCATGTGGTCTGCACCCTCCTGCCTTTTTCATGAGAAAGTGATGCTCCTCCTCCCTTTGTTGGTTCTTCTGTTGGCTCATGCATAGTTCTTGGCTGGAACCTGACTTTGTGTCATGGGGGCTACGCGGCCTTCAAGGAAAGCTGTGCTTTTTATATGTTTGTATTTGCCATTCAGTTGATTTTTCTCCTCTCTGCTGAGTACGCCTCGTTGCTGTTTATGGCCTTGTCTCCCTCGGACCTCCGTTTTCCTAATGTGGTGTTTTTAAATCTTCTGTACTTTCAGACACCAAAAGATAATTGGCTAGAATCATATAAAAAGTAAGATTCAGCATATTTTGAGTAATACTTTAAAGACTCCTAGTGAGCAGAGTACAGGAGGTGGAGTTCATGGACTTGTGACATGTATTGGCGGTACGGTGTCCTGTGAGTCCCCAGATCCAGGTAGCTGGGTCACTAGTCGAATGATCTGGGTCTTACTGGGTTTTTCTGACCGTGAGCGAATTGTACTTTGTTGACGGTGTAAGTGACTTGTGCATTTCGTTTGTGATAACTTTATAAAGAGATTTTTGAGCTATGAGTTGTTCGTAGCACTAGTGGAATGAAGAAGACATGGTGATGTGACCCCACAAGTGTCACCACACTGGCTTTTCCTGAGATTTGTGACCAAATTTTTGGCTATCTACAGATAATGAAAACTCCTCACGGCAAGTTAGATGGTCATATTTGAAAGATTGTATAAAATGTTACACATAAAGTTTAGATGAAAGCATTTGATGTTGGTAACCCGTGTTAGCTGGTGTTCCCAGGCTTGTTTAGCACTTTCACCCTCATGGCCTACCTTGTGAGCTTCACGAGTGCAGAGTGGTGTGCAGAATCATGATGGAAGGTGGTGCACACGAGATCTAGTTCTGGAAATTTTGGATGGGCTCAATATATAGCCCCTTATTGAACAATTCCTTACTGAATTGGTTATTATTATTATTTTTCTTAGTACTGTGAGTTGATGGGCTTAAATTGCAACTTGAAGGAACATTCGTTGCCTTAAAAGCCATATTGTGTTTTACAGTGGCTTAGGGAGAGAATGAAATAAAGGGAAATGTCAATGCATTTGCTTGTTTAATACCACTCAAAGCTGCGAACTATCATCCTGCTATCCCTCAAATATGCATGTTACTCATGAAGCGGAGCAAAAGTGGTGTTTAATAATTGAGCTGAGCCATTTTATATCAATTTTCTCTCTTTAGGCTCAAAGTGCTGACAAATAAAGCTTCTGTGATGCTCTTTATGAAAGGAAACAAACAGGTAAAGAACTCAAAAATGGTTTTATTTGTAATTTCTTTTGATGTTAACATCTGCAACAAGGGGACAGTTACATCTTTTTTTCCTAGCTGTAGCTAATGAAGCCGTAGCAGTATCAGGAAGTTATCGGGGGCCTTAATTGGTGCTTATGGAGATCAAACAAAGCAATCCACATTTTGCTTGACTTTATCATCAACATCTCAGTGGGGCGCCTTCCTTTCTCTGCCAAACTTTGTCAGCTAACGTGGTCAAGACCGTTAACGCTTTACTGGTTCTCTCAGTTGCTGTTTCACTACCCTTTGTTTGAGTCTGTGGATTGGGGTAGTGTGCAGCTGGGTCACTGGACTCCCGAATGCAGCAAACCTGGTAGTGACCACACCCCTGCCACCCTTTAGTGGCAGTGGAGAAACAAGCCCTGGCTTCAGCGCGTGCGCTGTGTGTGTTGGTGAATGAATGCGACCGTCGACAATGCTCATTTGTAATGGGTGGTTCTGGTGGCCTTTTTGATGAAGCGCCTGTTGATTGTGTGTCGTCTTGAGTGTCACGCTTGCTAGGTCCCTCCCACTGATAGTTTGAGCAGAGCTCGTTATCTTCCCCCCCCATTATCTTTCTGATTGGGGTTAGAGTGTTAATTTCCCAAAACTGACCATATACATCGATAGCGTATTTTGTAGTTTTCATAGGAATCGACCCTCTTAGTTATCATCAGTTGTTGAAGTAGGCAGGCCTGGGCAGAGTTTGGCCTACTTGCGAGATGGGGAAGCTAACGCTCCGAAAAGTGAGGCTGCTGGAATAAAGGAACACCCCCATTTAGCCAAGGAGCACTGGACAAGTAACTTAAATATAGAGAACTTCACTTTCCTCTTTGTAAATGGACATAACAATACTTCAGAGCTGTTTTGAGAATCTGGTTGCTATAGCTAGGGTGGAAGTTAATATAACTAGTATAATGAGGCTAATTAGTTAACATAACGAATATAATTAGCATAATGAAAATAATAATAGCACAGAAAGTGTTAATATACATTTCACCATATTGGGCTCCCAAGGTTAGGACTTAGATTCTTTGATTTTGGTTCAGTGTTTTTGATTTTGGTTCAGTGTACTTATTAAAACAATAGAGGAAGTTAATAATTCCCGGTAATGATAAGTAACTTTTGTTTTTCTTTCTGGTGATTGATTAAAGTAGATTTTTATCCTCAAAGCTTTTTTGGGGGGGAGGGGAGCCCAGGAAGTATTCATACATTTTGGAAACTATTATCAGAGCTATTAAAATGTTGATGCGGTGCCAAATTTTTCCTACAGATTTTTGCTGGGATTTGGGGTCCTGTGACATGAAAAAAAGCTTAAAGTTTTTTAGTCTCAAAAAAGTTTTGGTACTCTGTAATGTAAAAATACATAAAGCATGAGAGTCAAAATCCAGTTGGGAACAGGAAAATGATGATCATAATTGCCAAAAGAGTAAGCGAGTTAAGATCACAGAGCTTATAAGCTACCAGAACACACATCATCTCAAGTGGTTATAAACCAAAGTAAATCTGTGGGTTTTGTGTCTGGGTTGATGTCTAAATGGGTCTGCACTTGAAGAAAAAGGGTGAGAAAAGAAGCCCTTTGAGCTTAGAAAACCTAGTGGCAGCTATACTGGACAAGTGGTATACCGGTTGACAGAGTGTTAGGTACAGTCATGCTACTTGGTTATATAAAAGATGTAATCTTTGTAAATGCCTTTTTAAATCTAGGAAGCGAAATGTGGATTCAGCAAACAAATTCTGGAAATACTGAATAGTACTGGGTATGTAAATCTTGTTTTCAAATGGTATATTTAGAAAATTCCAACTTTTCAGTTCTACTAATGCTTTTTAGTTTAATGCCTGTATTTATTCATATATTTGTACCTGTTTATTTTTGCTATAATGTTTTGTTGAATGCCTTAACTTAGATCAAAATAGAATTTTCTGGCCAGTGTCAACCTACTAGTAACAGAAGGAAGGTTCTTAGACAACTTTTGAAAAATAACAATTTGTCTACTTTCCCAGAGGAAAGGTACTGAGTTCTCACCATACATAAAGGTATTCCAGGGAGAATAAATTATAGGTTGCTTTAAAGTTTTCTTTAAAAAATATTCTAGTTACAAAACTGAGGAGTATGGATGAAGGTCCATTGCCTAGATCAGAGAGGCAGGGCAGGTGAAATGGCAGTGCTGCTGCTTTTGATCACCTTGTTGTCGGAGCTGCCACCCAGCTGATTTCTGTGGTTAGAAACAAAACTTACTTCTTTGGAGATATTTAGCACATGCTCTGTAGAGTTTGCCAAATTCCTTGTTTCCTTTCCTTATTGCCTGTTTGCTCTTTAAAAAAATATGTGTTCTACCCTGGCTCGGTGGCTCAGCCTGTAATCCCGTGCCTTTGGGAGGCTGAGGTGAGTGGATTGCCTGAGCCCGTGGGTTCGAGACCTGCCTGAGCAACTTGGCGAGACCTCATCTCTACAATAAATCAAAAAATCAACCGGGCGTGGTAGTGCGCGCCTGTAGTTCCAGCTACTCGAAAGGCTGAGGCGGAAGGATCGCCAGAGCCCAGCAGGTGACAGAGTCTGACTCCAACTCAAAAACAAAACAAAATAAAACAAAAAAACCCCAAAAAACCCCTATGTATTCTAACAACATCTTGAAGTGGGTTAGCCACCCTGTGAAGTTACAGGAAAAGTCGTCTTTGAACTAGTTCAGCATTCTTGGGCAGGATTGAAAAGCAATCAGTTGAGCAGCACAGATTGAATACAACTTTAGGGACATAAAAAGAAAACAGTTGATTTCTTCAGATTATTGTGACCTCTTATAGAGTCACAGTTTATTGTAATTGTTGCTGCAAGCCTGTTTGCTTTCTTGCCCCTGCCCTGGGCTGAAGAAGCGGGCTGGCTTGTATCTGGTCCTTTGTGATGGCCCTCTTTCTTTGTCATTCCTCTGCTGCAGGTTCACAGGGGGACACTCTCAGTCCATTCCTCCCTAGCAGTACCACGTGTTCTTCAGGGCATGAGTATCTCGGAGCAGACACACTGGGTACACCCAGTTTGTGTCTTCAGTGGAATGTCTCTGTAACTTGGTTTTCTGTCCTGTGTAATCTTGACTGGAGCTGGGCGCCATGGCTCACGCCTGTAATCCCAGCACTTTGGGGGGTAAAGGCGAGAGGATTGTCTGAACCCATGGGTTTGAGACCAGTCTGGGCAACATGGCAAGACCTCATCTCTACGATAAATCAAGAAAAATTAGCTGGGTGTGGTAGCACACATCTGTAGTTCAGCTACTTGGAAGCTGAGGCGGAAGAATCGCCTGAGCCCAGCAGGCCGAGGCTGTGGAGGCTATGAGCGTGCCACCACATGCCAGCCTGGGCGACAGAGTGAGACTCCCAGTGTCTCTCCACCCCCCCCCCGATCTTGATTGGATTAAAAGTGCCCGTTGTCCCAGAGCAGGGGACCTCTGTGGGAGATAATAACCTTCTAGCTCTAGACTTGATAAACACGATCAGCTCTCTGCAGTGGGTGGGGCCACGGGAGGCCTGAGCTTTTTAAAACTTGAACAGACTGTACTCTTGCTGGGAATCATATGTATATGGAGAAAGCTGCTTCTTGTTTTTGTTCTCCATTCTTTTTTTTTTTGAGTGGGAATCTCACTCGGTCGCCCAGACTGGGGTGCAGTGGCTGCTCCCAGCCACCGCAGCCTCGACCTGCTGGGCTCCGGCGATCCTTCTGCCTCAGCCTTCCGAGTAGCTGGAAATACAGACGTGCGCTACCACGCCCGGCTGATTTTTTTTATTTATCGTGGAGATGAGGTCTCACCAAGCTGCCCAGGCAGGTCTCGAACCCGCGGGCTCGGGCAATCCACTCACCTCGGCCTCCCAAAGTGCTGGGATTACACACTGAGCCACTGAGTCCGGCCTGTTCTCCATTCTTAACTTACTTTTTCCTTTAGTAGCCTGAGTACACGTGCATGAGGGCCTGAAAACCAAGTGTCGAGGTGTCAAAGGCACCCTTTACAAATAGCTGATAGGAGATGTATTGGCTGTTGGGACTCCACATACCTACATGTACTTGGGCCCAGTCGTTCCTAAATTTCTTATAAATAATTCCACAACTCATCACTTATATCATTTCATCAGTGTCAGGAGCGCTGCCTCTCTTAGTTCAACTTAAATGGAGATTTATGTAGAATCTTTTTTTTAAGGTTTTTTGGGGTACTTTTTCAAACATTTCTTTTTTTTTTTTTTTGAGTCGGAGTCTCACTGGGTCGCCCAGACCGGAGTGCAGGGGCCGAGCCTCGACCCGCCGGGCTCCGGCGATCCTTCCACCTCCGCCTTCCGAGGAGTCGGAATCACAGGCGCGCGCCACCACGCGCGGCTGATTTTTTGATTTATCGTGGAGGTGAGGTCTCGCCAAGGTGCCCAGGCGGGTCTCGAGCCGCGGGCCCGGGCCATCCACTCCCCTCAGCCTCCCGAAGCGCGGGACGACAGGCTGAGCCGCCGAGCCCGGCTCACACATTTCTTTGTTGATGCTTACTCTTGATTTATCCTGTCGTCGAACTTTTTGACTGCTCCCTGAACAGTAGGCAGTTTTCCTGGGGACTTGTTTACTAAGTAAACAGGGTTTCCCTGTGATGTCTTCAGCTGTCTAGAAAGTTGAATTTTTAAAAAAACATGTGGCATTTTCTTTGGTCAGTTTCACAAACTGCACCCAGAGCCACCCTGCTGAGATGGTCCACATACACATGCCTCACGGTGAAATCCTACCAAGTCGATATGGTTGGATTTCCATGCAGTGGTTCTTGATACTTTACACAAGTAATGTTCACTGTACAGCAGAAAGCCACAGAAACGTGCATTGGTCTGACGCATTTTACAGACAGCACGTGCTCTGAATGAAGCCTGTTAGGTGGGAAAACTCGCCTCCCTGCGGTGGAGGGAGGGAGCCGTGTGGCTGTGTCCTCGCTGCCGAGCCCCTCCGTCCTCAGTTGTGGGCACAACTCTCCCTCCTGCTCCAGGAGCAGCTTCCAGGAGGCCAAGCAGCAGCCCGGGTGAGGCCGGCACTAGAGGCGGGGAGAGAGCGTTCTGTGAGCCACAGGCTCGTGTGAAAGGGGGTGTGGGTCTGACCAGGGCTTGGCAAATTGCAGGTGGCTGCCAGTGTCTGTAAATGAAGTCGTACTGGCACTCAGCCACATTCTTCCGTGTGTGTGTGTGTGTGTGTGTGTGTGTGTGTGTGTTGTCTGTGGCTGTTTTGCATTACACAGCAGGGCCCGGCAGCTGCAGCAGAGACAGAATGGCCTGCGTAACCTAAAGTGCTTGCTGTCTCCTCATTTAAGAAAAAGTTTGCCTTCCCCTGGTCTAACCCAACACTGTCTAGAGAAAAATTCAGGTATGCTTGTATCTTTGGGTGGCTTACAGTTGGTCTGTAGTACATTTTGTTAGCAGTGAAACAGTTTGTGTGACTTCCTTGACTATTAAAAAACACCAAGTACATAGGTCTTACACTTTTCGTTGAACTGTACTTCCTGTTAAAACGTTTTCTCCTTTTTGCAGTGTTGAATATGAAACCTTTGATATATTAGAGGACGAAGAAGTAAGTTCTGTGTTTTATATTTTGTCCTTTGTCTTAGATTTAATCATCAGGATCTGATAGGAAGGATTCAGGGTTCTGTTGTTTCTTTAGGTTCGGCAAGGATTGAAAACTTACTCCAATTGGCCAACATACCCTCAGCTGTATGTGAAAGGGGACCTTGTTGGCGGGCTGGATATTGTTAAGGTAAGGTCAGTTCATCTGCTAGCCTGAAGAACTGAACATGTGGCATGCTTAGAAGTTATAGTTTCATACTGAGTAAATTTTAGGGTTGCCCTTGATTCCTTTTCACCCTCGCATTCAGTCACTTCTAGATCAGTATTACTGTTTCTGTGTGTGTCATAAGTCTGTTGTTCTCGGTGTCCCCGTTGTGTCATACTGTTCTTACTCCCTCCTACCTGAACTAGTCATTTCGTCTCCCTTCCGTGGGGTGATCTTCCCTGCCACTCAGGGTCCTTTGTAGATCCTCCTTTAACTCCCAGCCAACTGCAGACCCTGGTCCGGACCCTGTAACTTTGTATTAAGAGACGCTTAGGCTGTGACCAAGCTTATAAAATTTTAGTTTTATTCATCTGTACTAAATCCTGCAGAACTTTTTTCTATATTTTTCTGCCTTTCACCATTCCTTTGCCTTGTCCTCTTGGCTCTGGTTTTCCTTGTGTGTTCTGTATTTGAATCTGTTTTTTTTTGAGTTGGAGTCTCACTCTGTCGCCCGGGATGGAGTGCAGTGTCACGTTCCCAGCCACCGCAGCCTCGACCTGCTGGGCTCCAGCGATCCTTCCGCCTCAGCCTTCCGAGTAGCTGGAACTATAGGCACACACTACCACGCCCAGCTGATTTTTTGATTTACTGTAGAGACGAGGTCTCGCCAAGCTGCCCAGGCTGGTCTTGAACCCCTGGGCTCAGGAAATCCTCTCGCCTCGGCCTCCCAAAGTGTTGGGATTACAGGCTTGAGCCACCGCTTCTGGCCTCGAATCTGTTCTTTATATCCTTCCATGCTCAACTTGTCTGTGACTCGTTTACAGATGCTTCCAGCCAGAATCATTTGCTCCTGCTCCTGCAGTTCTCGTGTTCTTTTATTTTTATATCACAATTATTTTCTCTTGCCTTATGTATCCTTGGGTGCACGGAATGACAACGTGGAATGTGATGCCTTAGGCAGGAAGCCTGCAGCCCCGTGCTGTCTGACCCAGCCTTGCCACGAGGCTGAAGGTTGCTGTCCTTGGTCTCCTGAGAGAAAAATGCAGGTCTCTGGTCTTCAGATGCTAGGAAATCTGTTAACTGTTAGAGTGTAAGTGGGCTTAGAGATGGCACCATTTCTTTTGTGCCTTCGAATCCTTCTTGATTCCCTGCGTACATTAGGAGCTCAGTAAATGGTTGTTGGTTGGAAAGAGACTTGATTTCTTTGGCTTAAGTAAACTCTCACTGGTTTTTAAATGGACAAGCCCTTTTCCTGTATTTAATGCCGAGCATTTAAAGGGCAGCTCCACCTACTAGCACTGGGTGCTTCATAGCTCTCTTGGTTAACCCAGAACAGCACATGGAAGCTTCAGCTTTTTTGCTTGTGTTTTTGTTATTTTAAAGATGTGTGGGGTATAATTCAGGGTTAGGTATGCAAAGGTTCGTCATGCGGGTACCCTTGTTGATGAGGTGTGCCCCTCCCTCCCCTGGCAGTTTCCCTCAGTCCCACCAGTAGTGGGAAACTGCTAACCCCCCCTCCCCTGGCAGTCTCCCACTGCTGCCAATCCCTTTCTTACAGCATTATGATAATTGTCCAAGGTCCGCTTATGAGTGGGAACATAGGGTACTCTGTTCTTTGTTTCTGGGAGAGATCGCCGAGTGTGATCAACTCTAAATCCGTATATTTGTCCTTCTTTATGGCTGTATAATATGTATCACATTTTAAAAACCCAGTCCACTTTCAGTGGACAGCATGGTTGGTTCCATGTTTTTGCTATTGTGAATAGAGCTTCTATAACCATACGTGTGGAGGTAATTTTTTGTGGAATGGTTTGAGTTAGCTTCAGCTTTAATACACTCAACCCTTCTTCTGCACCCCAGGCCTACCCTGGGCATTAAGGGTTAAAGGAGGATGGCAGTAGGGTGGTGCTCATATATGGAGGACTGGGGGGGATTGCTGGACTCCTCTTGGAATGTGAATGAGGCTGCCTCCAAAGGTGAGCGCTGGCAGTTGTCCAGGCCCCAGGCCCAGAGATGCGAGACTGCCCTCAGGCCTTCCTCTTGCCTCCTCCGCCGGAGACTTGTCTCTGACCTCAGACCTCTGACTTTTAAAGTAGGAAACAAGCAGTAACTAGTTCTCCTTCTAGTTGTGCAGTAAGTTAAAAGTTTTTAACACATACTTTCGCTCTGTTTTGAGTCTGGGTCCCATGCTATCACCCAGGTTGGAGATCAGTGCAGTGACACAATCATGGCTCATTGGAGCCTCGACTTCTTGGGCTCAGGCGACCTCCTGCCTCAGCTTCCTGAAGAACTGGGTCTACAGTGTGTGCCACCACACCTGGCTAGTTTTCTGATGTTTTTGTAGAGATGCGGTCTTGCTACATTGCCAGGCTGGTCTCAAACTCCTGGGCTCAAAGTCCTCCCACCTTGGCCTCCCAAAGTGCTGGGATTACAGGTGTGAGCCACTGTGCCCAGCCTTAACACACACTTTTGTAAAGTGTAACACTGAAGTGGCATCAGTACTTTGGACCAATATGTTTTATGCAAACAGAGCTTGTGCTTCTTTGACCTCAGAGGCAGTTTTTATCCTGTGGTTGTGTATGTGCAGGTTTTGTTTCTTGCACAGTTCCAGGTTTGATACCATACTTGTTAGCCAGTGAGGCATTTTTCCTAGGAAACTGCTTCAATCCTGGAGGACAAAAAAATATTTAACACTGTAGTTTTTGAATAGCCCTGAAGCAACAAAAATAGATCTGCATTCGTTATTATATGTCTCTCTCTGTGAATATGTATCTTATTTTTGTGAGGCGCAGATAGCACTCAGACCCCAAATACTCTTGAGCCTGTTCTTGTCTGAATGTTTTATAGCCCGTACCTTAGCCATTGGTAATTCTTGAGAAGATACAATCAATAAATCTCATTTAATTTAAAGCAAAGCTACATGGGGTAACTTCTTTTTAGGTTTATAACAGGTTGTCATGTCTTTTTATGTTCACCTGCTGAGAACATATACATTTGAAATTTGCGATACTGTCAACGTTTCTCCTTGAGAAGATCTATTAGTGTGTGTGTCTGTGTGTGTGTGTGTGTGTGTGTGTACACATATGGTCATGTGGAATAGTTCTTAGGTTGCCATTTTGGTCTGGTTCTTGCAGAATGCTGTGCTTCATCTTTAGTTCAATTAAGACATTTCCAGATTGTGTAATTCTTGCTGGCCCTCGTTGGAGCAGTACGTACTTGTTTTGTTGAATGAGTGACTAAATAAACTATGAATTACTCAGTAACTGTTAATCTAGTGTCCTGATTTAATCTTGCCGCGAAAGAGTAAACAGTTCACTGCTTAGACTTCAACATTTTGTGTTTGTTAAGAGAGATTGGGAATATCTCGGTTGAGCTGTAGTTTAACTTGCGGGCTCACATTAACAGCAGTGGTGATGCTGGGGATGGCCTTGTCTGAAGCGTCTGCAGCGTGATGTGCCTGGCACGCGGCTTCGGTGCTCTCCGCAGGCTCCTGCGTGCCATCCCCAAGCAGCCTCAGATGACTCTCTCTCTCTCCCTCTTAAACAAGTTTTACTTCAGTTGCTTCAGGGGGTCCAAATAGTTGTTGGCTTTGTGGTTGCATTGTATAGTGGCAAAGGCGTCTGGGCCAGCCTCCGATAATTCCAATTCTCAGTCAACAGATGAGGAAACAGACACGGAAGGTGAGTGCCCCCTGCCCCACACCTGGTATGCCGCTGAGCCCAGATTCTACCCGAGGGCCGCCTGGCCCACTGCCTTCTGAACTGTGTGCTCAGAAAAGGCCTTGGTGCAGCGGGATGTCTGTTGGTTAAAAAGGTAAAAGATCCCTAGACGTTGCTGAAGGTTGTCTGGAGTTTTGTATGACAGAATTGCTTCTATTTGAGTTTGATCCAGAGAGGAGGTTGTGTGGACTTCAGTAGTTTTACGGATGGGTGTTTATGCTGCTTAGTGATAACTTGAAATGTAATCAAATTAAAGGTTTGTTTTAAACTTAATCTTATTTATCGTTTATTTTCACATTTCAAAGTTGGTGGCTATACTCCAAATTTTAAAGCTCAAAGACAGGCACACAGAGTAGAGAGCTAGTCCTGCAGTAGGAATTAATCTAGTGGTAGCTCTTTTGATGCCATACCTCTGTTTCCGAGTCATTCCATCTTTTTAATGGTTTCTGACCTTTGCTTGGTACTTAGCTTTTCCCGAGGCAGAGACACGTCCCCAGGTTGGGGTTCAGCAGTGAAGCTGTTGCCTCTGAGAATGGAGGTGCAGGAGTGGAGCGAGTGTCATTTGAGCTGGCTTTTAACCTCACATTGCTTTCTTCTTTGACCTTGCAGATCACTTGGTTTGTTCTCCTTATTTATTGCTATAATTTAAAGAGGGGCTTCATTATTTTGCCCCAGTTCTGGTGTTTGCCGTTTTTATGGCTTACTGTTTACTTTGAGAGTGTTGGAAGACTGGAGTTTTACTCCAATAGATGTTTCTTTGGGCTCTTGGATAGAGATATAAGCTGTGATTATTTGGATGTTTTCATTTTTATATATACACCTGCATATTATTGTTGTTTTTTGTTTATAGGAACTGAAAGAAAATGGTGAGTTGCTGCCTGTACTAAGAGGAGAAAATTAATAAATCTTAAACTTGATGCCCAACTACTGCAAGAAATATTTAATTTCATGGGAGCAGTTCATGATTTAGTCCTCAGAAATGGACTAGGAATAGAAACATGCTTCTTACTCAGTTACATGTTTTGTGTATTTCACAGTGTTGTGCTAAAAAATGTATGTTACTTTTTTCCCCCACAAAAACAATGCAATAAACATCTTCAAATTATTAACAATATTGTGTGAAGAAATGTGTCTTTACCGTGATGTTAAGAAGACAGTTACTGTAATTAACCCACTTTAAATCTCTTTTTCTTATATGAGCCTCTGGTAGAGGTCCAGAAAGGCGGTCTTCAGAAAATGGAGAACTGTGACAGAGTAAGTACATGACAATATCAGAGCAACGTTTATGCTAACCCAATGGCTCCCCTCACTGGTGAAAGGACTCTTTGCAGCTTTGGGAAAAAAAACTGATCATCTTTTTCTGATGGCATAGCTGAGCCTGACACTGGTGAATTGCAGAGGCAGGGTAGGATGTCTGTAGGTTTGGAGGCTCATTTCAGAAAGCACCAGTAGTGAATTACTGAACATTTAAGAGGAAAAAAATTTTGTTTTAATTAAAATTAAAATTTTTTTTTAAGTTAGAGTCTCACTCTGTCACCCAAGCTGGGGTGCAGTGGCATGCTCACGGTCACCCCCAGCATTGACCTGCCGGGCTCCGGCGATCCTTCCGCCTCAGCCCTCCAAGTAGCTGGAACTACAGGCAAGTGCTACCACGCCTGGCTAATTTTTGATTTATTGTAGAGACGAGATCTTGCCAAGTTGCCCAGCTGGTCTCGAACCCGCGGGCTCAGGCAGTCCACTTGCCTCAGCCTCCCAAAGTGCTGGGATGACAGGCTGAGCCACTGAGCCCGGCCAAGGAAAGTGATTTAGCATTGAGTATGTTGTGTCAAGGACTTTTGTCATAACGTCTAGAAGAATGGGTAGTCATGACGAAGAGCAAAAAAAGCGTTGTCAGTTTGTTTTAAACGTCACAACGGACTTTAATCATTGTAATAAACTTAATAATTTCACCCTTCATGAATAGGTTGGGAGTGTTCTGAGATCCATGAAAATTTCAATGGTATTTCTGACCCGGAATCTAACGTATTTAAAAATTAGTTGCTCCCCAGGTTTCCATGGTAGCATTTGCATGCTACTTTTTCTCTAAGTCCCACCTGTGCTATTACATTTTCTAAGTTGACTTTTAACTTTATCCGAAGCAAGAATATCTTGGCTATCACAGATTTGATAAGCTAGTTTTTTTCCTAAAGTACATTCACATAAACAAAAAGCGTAACTTTTAGCATAAATGTCTAATTCTGGTTTTGGAAACACTTGTTTGACCAGAGGCCTTTGGCTCTGATACTACGATACGATTCTTGCATTTTAGAAGACCTCCTCTCCCTTTGGTTGAGTCTTGCGTGACACGAGGCATCAGTGACGGTAACTCCTTTGCTGAACTTCCCACTATGAGTCAGGGTGAATACTGAGAGTTTTCGGGGAGTTGCCACCGTGTCTTGCATGAGTTTATCCTATTTTTTTCTTCCAAATTCTGATAGTCATTGGCTCTGTTGACTCCAGGGAAGTTGGGGTGACAGTGAACCATATTTCCACTGTACAGACATTTCTGGCCAGACGTTGAGAAGGTCCAAGTGATCTTGTTCATGCAAGCTGACTGATGGTCGTTTCCAATCTGATTTTGCTAGGCATGTTTTAAGAAGTAAAGTAAGATTCTTGGGCCCAGCTGAACTTTCCCTATTGAATTTTCTAACAACAGAGAGTTTGTGCACGGGTTTATAACTGAGCCTGCTTTCAGAGAAATGTTTTGTCAAGACTGAGATCCTCTCTCTGGTCCTCAAATCCTAGAGTCAGAGTTCTCAGCATTTGAGAAACTCGTTCAGTTCACAAGGAAAGGTAACAGCATGGCATTTGGATGTTGCCCCATGTGTGATGCTCTGTGCTGCGTGCTTATGGTGGGCGGGAACCTCCAGGCAGGTACCATGCGGAGGGTTTGGCTTCGGGACACACTGCCATCCCCAGCAGCGCCTTGGAGCCAGACAGCCTGCAGCTAGCGCTGGCTTTCTCACTCACTCAGCCTCCTGTGTTGAGTCTGCAGCGGAGCTCCCTGTCACAGCCCGGGGGATTCTGTGTGTATGGTGCCGACAGGGAGGCTCCTGCGTGAGGGAAGCTGCCCTTGGAACGAACCCACACCTCGCATGACAGTGAAGGTTGAGCGGGAACCAGAAAGGCCCTGGAGCCGGCGGGGCTGTTTCCCCCTCTGGACTTGTGTGTTTGCCTGGAGGCCACCTCCTGGCGAGGGAGGGGTCTGGTGGAACTGGTATCCACTGGGGGCAGGGGGGGATAAGCCTGCAGGAACGGTCTTTTTGATAAAACTCAGATTTTGCTTTGTAATAAAAAATGGAAAGAAAAACTAAAAACGGCGGAAGAGACTAGGTAGGTTGTGGAATGCTCCAGGATTGGAGCTGGGGCAGGATGATGCGACTCCCAAGCCTGAGGTTCACTGCTCCCCGGTGGCCTTTCCGTCAGTGGTGTGTGGAAGGTCGCCTTTATGCCTATGGCTGGAGTAGGTACCTTTTCTGGGCATCAGAGAGGGAGGGTGGTGAACGCGACTTCCGCTGGACCGCTCTCCTTCGTGACTTGTGTGCTTTTGAAAGTTTGAGGGCTGGGTGGTTGAAGACTGCCTGTAGGTGGATGTGTTGAAACTCGCTATAATAACGTAAATGCTGTTTGTGAAAAGATGCCAAGTGCAGTAATATATTTTAAGATGGTTTATTCTGAGGCAACTTGAGGACCAGGCTTGTGAACACCCATCCTCAGGGTGATCCTGAGAACATGTGCCCACAGTGGTTGCATGGTAGCCTGGTTTTATCCAGTTTGGGAAGGCAGAAGTCGCAGAAACCATAAATCGATATGTGTGAGATCTTCATTGGTTTGGCCCATTAAGGGAAGACATTTCCGAGTGGGGGCTTGCAGGTGGTAGGTGAATTTAAGGATTTCTTGACTGTCAATTTACAGTTCCTATCTAAGGAATTTTAGAAATCAGGTACCTGGAGTCCCAGAGTTCCTGAAAGATGGCTTTGCAGGGTCATAAAATACTTTGATTTTCTTCTTTTTTGTTATGGGATTGAGACAGGAGGTAGCTAGAGAAAGGTTAGGCAGACAGGCAGTAGAGTCCTCTGACAACAATGTAGCGAACTCCCGGCAGGTCTCCCAGGCTCAGCGTTGGTAAACAAGCTCCCTGCAAGCCTCTCAAGCTAGAGCCAAAGTCCTCACTGTTGGGATTGAAAAGCAACCAATCAGAACAGCCACAGCTCACAGCTAGTGCTAGCGGATCGACTTGGACTTAGGGCTACAGAACCGGCAGGTTTTCGGGCCCCTTCCCACTGTAGAAGCTTTTCTGTCCTCAGTAAATCCTGCTTTCTCACTTTCCGGCTGTCCGCGTCCCTCATTCTTCATGGGCATGAGACAAGAACCTTAACCCTGAACAGCTGCCACCTGAAGAGTTGCAGAAGTCATCGGAGTCGAAAAGCCGCACACCCCAGAGGCTGGTCTGCCAGCTGACGGAGCCGGCTGAACCAGGAGAGCTGCCGGAGGAAGGCGAGACTCCAAAGCCGAGACACCTCGGGGGCGAGGCTTGCCAGCCCACCAAGCCAGCAACACTCTCAGGGCTTGGCTTGCCGCAAAGCCCGTTAGAGCCAACACCCCGGGGGCGAGGCTTGCCAGCCCATCAAGTCGCAACACTCAGGGCTTGGCTCGCCAGCCCGCTAGAGCTGACACTTCCGGGGCTAGGCTTACCGACCCTCCACGACCCTCTCTGAGGCTTGGCTGGCCGACCTGTTGAGCCGACCCTCTTGAAGCCCAGGCTGACCTGAAAAATCCGCATCGGGATGTTATGCCAGAGGTTGGAAAACAGATTTCGCGTATCGGGTAATAGGGTACTTAAACCCCATCTGAGGAGTCCTTAGCAGATGTGATTCCCTCAGCTGCTTAGTTAGGAATTTGGATAGGAAGGGGAAAAAAAGGTCAGGTTTAGTCCTCAGTGACGTAATCCTTGCTGAAGTCTGGTGGGTTGGGCTGGCTTTGCCCACGTGCTGTATAAAAAATGCTTCCCCAGGTTTTAAGCCAGAGTGCGATTTTGACAGGTTGGGTCTTTTGGTGGACGAGCCTCGCCTCGCCTCGCAGGACTGCCCTCCAGCTACAGGGTGGCAGCGCCTGTCACCAGCCCCAGGCCTTGGGCCCTCCGGACTGAGCGTCCGCTTGCTCAAGCAGGCAGGAGGAAAACTGTCATTTTCAGTCTTAACAAAAATGCTTGGTTAATCCTACCGGGAAGTTTGAAATTGCGCCTAATTTTTAAAGATAGTAAGCATATCTTTATATTTGAAAATGTCACTTTAATAACTTCAAAACTACATCCTGGTTATGAAAATAAGTTTACTTACTCTCGGAAGCAGAACTGCGAAACATTCTAAGCACTTAGCTCTGGTAATCATTACCCGCCTCACTGGAAACAATGCTACGAATAAGACCTATCCCGGCAGTCAAATGAGAAGTTAAAGCTTAAGACTGCAATATGAAAAATTTTTGATTTAATTTTTACATTAAAATCAGCTTTCGTGAATTTGACAGTTGGTACTTATCAAAATTAAGACCTTTTCTTTCTAAGTAAATTTGGTTCTTTGCAGATTAAGTTCATTTTTTTTTTAATACACATTTTGGGTGTTGATTTCTAGGAATTAGGCAAACTTTCCCTTTTTGTCCAAACACGTTTCTACATGGTTCTTTACTCTTCAGTCAAATCTGACCATAAAAGTAAAACTTGGGTCTTCATTTCTGAAGCCTTCTGTGTCACATAAAACTAAGTGAATCTTACGCTTTTATCTAGTTAGTCTGTCTTTGATATGCGAGTGTTGGCCTTGACCCTTGTGACAGGTGAGAAAAGGTATCTCCCTTTCTGACTTACACAAGCTGAAGTAACTTACTGATGCCTCATTCGCCAAAAGGGGTAATTTTAAAGACAAGTTTTTATAACTGATATCCCATTCTGGTTGCAAAACCTTGAGGACCTTTTTTTTTTTTTTTGAGTCGGAGTCTCACTCTGTTGCCCAGACTGGAGAGCAGTGGCCGCTCCCGGCCGCCGCAGCCTCGACCTGCTGGGCTCCGGCGATCCTTCCGCCT